AGCAGGAATCTGTCATCGCTGCTCGTTTTCATAGCAGGTTTAATAGTGATAATTATTCTTCTTGCTAAATGCAAAATGAGAACGTTGTTGTTTGTAATTTTTTTAAGAAAACAAAGCAACTCCCAAAAACAAAACCCACCTTCTGCCCTGCCAAAAAAGAAAAAAAACCCAACCAAAAATAACCTGTTTTTACAAAAAAAACCACCAAAACACCTATTTTTCAAATTAAACATAATGTTTGTCCTTTTTCCTACCAACTTGATCCTGACCCACTTCTTCCCTAAGTTTTCCTGCAGTTTAGTTTCTGGAGAGTTGTTGATCTTTGCAGATGTAAAGGTTGCTTTTCACAGGAGCTGTGCTGCTTTGGACTTGGAGCCGTGTAACACAGCAGTGTTTGGTTAATTGTGTTTTGTGTCATTGTAGAGTAACAGTTGGAAAAGAAGTTTCTTGTTCTGGGTGTCATGCAGCCCTGTAATGTTTGTTTTTCAAGGTCCTCTGATGAGGGAAGTTTAACTGCATCTCTGTGCATGTAATACTGGGACTTTTAGGGCTTTTCCTTGATGGCTGCCAAAACAGTGTTTTCCCCAGTGACGCCACTGCTGGGGGAGATTGCAAATAATAAATGGTTTGCATAGTATTAAATTATTATCTTGTTTGTGGTAACTACCATGGCTGTTAAAACACTCCCCATAGATAGACAATTGATGACACTCGCTGAAAGTGACTCATATGCAACAGTTCTCGGCATCACTCGTCCATCAGAGAGAAAATACTTCGCAAATAAAATTGCTCATGTAGAGTGTATGTTCATAGACTTGGTATCGGAATGGCCCAGGAGGAAAGGGTTGGTTGTAATACATCAGAAGGTGTCCGAGGCGGTGAGAATGGTTGTTTTATTTGCAAGTCACATGTGGAAAGATTGGATAACGATTGGGTGGGAGAGACGGGTAACAGTGTACAAATCGGAAAAATGAGGTGGTGTGGGAGGGCTGACAGCAGAGTTAGACTGAGGGAAGTGGGCTGGTTTAGCCTGGAAAGAGAATGCTAAAAATGGGGAGTTTTAATTGCTCTCTTCTAATCATCTAACGAGTAGTTACAGAAAAGGCTGAGCTGGATGCATGGTGAAAGGACGAGAGGCTGTGAGTACAAGTTTTGACAAGGAAAACTCTTACTAGACACTAGGAAAAAATTTACGTTGCAGATGGTCAAAGCCTGAAACTGGTTGCCCTGCCAAATTTTGGAATCCTTGTCCTTGGAAATAGTCAAAACTTGACTGACACAGGTAGAAAATAAGCAGTAGCACTTAGGAATTGTAGTTACTTGCAGTAAGGATAGCACATGTAGTTTTCAAAACCTAAGTCTTCACGCATACACAAAATGTACATGCATTGTATTTGGTACTCTGAAAGGAAAGACAGGCACGGCTTATTGTTCTTGAGAGCTTCTTAATGGCAGCAGGGTAGCTCATAAGTTCAGTGAGTTGGTAATGCATTTGCTTGGGCCACCTTTTCAATTTCCACAAATTGAGTAGTGGAGCTTCTGAAATGGAGCTAATAAAACTTTTTAGGAAACTTAATTTCTGACTCCGAAGTGGAGTATTTAGTCTCTTAGTTTTGGTGTAAAAAAAAAAAAACAAATTTCACATTTGGAAAGAATTGCAAATTTTGTGTCGTAGCAAGCATAATATGGATAAAAGCGTTGCTTGAAAAGCTCGGTACTTTTATTAGTAAAAATATTTATTTTTATATGTCAAGATAAGGTAACTGGCTTTCGTGTTAGTAGAAGAGCGATGGTATTGCTAAGCTATTTTTATAAGGGGATTCTCGGTGGAGATTATAGTTCGTGAGCTGTGGTGTTTATTGCTGATTTTCCATGTCTGAAGTGTTCATGTGTTCTGGTTTTTTGTTTCACCTTCCTCCCCCAGGAGATGAGGGAGAGACTAAATCAAGGGCTGTTCCGATGGAGGAGGAGGAAGATGATGATGATGACGATCCTGAGAATAGGTATGATACCATCCATAAGGACTTAAAAAAGATTATAACACACCCTAGGCGTGAGCGCAAAGCGGCGCAACGGAAGAGCAAGCAGGTTGTAAAAACCACGACTGCCTGCCTTGTAAAGACTCGCTCACGGGCTTCCCGCAAGCTTGAACAAGGGGCCAGAAAACAGAGGCCAAAATCCAGAAATACAAAGAAAGCATTTAGAAGTGTTAGCTAACACACCTTGCGTAGGGTGTGTTATAAACGCACTGCAGCACTGTCCATTTTATGTTCCGATTGAAAGCGTGAGGTTTGTGATAAGTAGTTCCTTTAGGCAGGTAAAAACCTCATAAATGGGGATATCGGCTAGTTATGTGACTAGAACTTAGAAATTTGCATATGGGCAATATGCAGTGCTAAAATCTTTTCAGATTGAACTTGGTTTATTACTGTTCCATAATTTGTCTTTTTAATTGAAACACGTTTTCTCCATAAAGAGAAAACACAAATGTGGGGAAAGAAGTGTTAGATATTTTTAGCTGTTAATTAAGCTGAGTTTGAATCGGCTGAAGAATGCCTGCAGTGACTGACGTGGTAGTTGAGGCCCTGATTCTACAAGCACTGTGCATAGGCTCGACTGGTGTCAAAGAATTCTACATACACATTTTAAATCATTGCATAGATGTTCTCAGAACTGTGGCTTACCTGTATTGCTTCAGTTTCAAGTTCAATAAAAATGAATTTATGTAAGATACAGTTAGTTAGGACATGTCATATTTTACCAGTACCATTGTAGTTCTCAAATTTAGCTTGGCTAGAAAATATAAAAGCTTTGTTTCCTAATGAGTGAATGCACCACGTGAAGTATTGCTCAATTACAAGCCACAGTTTCTTTCTGGAAGTTGTTGTAGTTAGATTAAAGAGTTGTCCAACAAATTTTTATACAGTATTTCAGAAACTGCTTATTTTTTGGCCTTAATAGCATGTATGGGACCAGCTTCACAGCTTTGCACAGTTGCTGATGGAGTCTTGTTCTGTTTCTTACTAGTTTAGAGTATGTATCTTTGTTTCACAGAGTTGTATGCTTTGATCTGTGGCTGAAGTCAGTTTTCAAAACACTGTTTTATATCCTTTAGGGACCTCAGTTTGGCATAAAAATATTGCTGCTGGTGTAGTTCTCATTTGTTTTCAGTCATCAAATTAAATCAAGCGATTCAGCTTTTAAAGAAAGATGCTCTCTAGGGACTTGACAGCACAGGGTCATAAGCAGAACATGTAAACTTTGGTTATTATTTTTTTAAATTACACTTTAATTTCAGTTCTGTTTTGATAATTTTTTTTCTTCTTTTGGTTTCTTAAGTATTTCAGGTTGATAACTAAGGCAACACACTTTTGTCAAAGTTCAGTGTTTACCGCACAAATGTTACAGATTTTAATTACAATATAGTTTATATTATATTATAATACAGTTTAAGAACTGTATTGGGAAATGAGTTAACCCAACTGATAACAAACCAATCAAGTAATATGAATTTGGGGTTTAAAAATCAGTTTCTGTACCTTTGCTTTTAAGCTGAAATCTTTGTTGAAGTTTTTATTTAGGCAATATATTGAATATATGTTCAATAAACAGTTTTGTCAACCTTCAGACATGTTAACTGGTAACTGCAGTCTGATTTTGCATTCATAATGCATTGTACTTGGCACCAAAATTAGATAGATAAAATGTGGAAAGATGGAACAAAATTTAAGAAGTTAAAAGCTTGTTCTTCTGTTTGCTCAACACAAAGTGTTTAAATAGTTTACCTACTATTCGGATGAGTTGCCTATTTTCTTCCAGGCCAAAGAGGGTATGTAGTACCTACCGGGTGTTTGTAGTGTGGGGACTCTCATGTTTGCAGGTCTCTAGTTTAGAAGTTCTGTTGTTTGAATACCTTTGGATGTGCATGACATGAATATTAATAGTCTTGAAATCATCTTTGCCAAGTGGGTCATAATATGACATACAGTGCTGTATGCTTTCATCTTATGTTGTGTAATTATCTATTATTGGTCCTTCTGAGCTTTTAAATGGTACTGTTTAATGTTTGCAGTAGTTTTGTTTATTAAGAAATTAATAGTGTATTCAATACAGAATGCCTTTAAGTATTTGATGGTTGCAATAAATTTTTGTAAAACGTTTTTCTTGTCCAAGCATTTAATTTAATACAACTCTGACAGCTTGAAAATCAAACTGTTTCAACAAAGACAGTACAGTATTTAGAACAAGGTGTTTGGCAGTTTTCACTATTTTTTTTAAACATGTGTGACACTTCATTCAAATACTTCTCTCTAAAAATACATTTTAAATTGTTCTAATTTTTTTAGTAATATACCAAAGGCCCATTTAATTCAGTAGAGCTTTAGCTGAAAGAATGGTGGCTTTTATTAGCCACGTAAAAATGTCCTCCCCTCACCCCCAAAGGCTTGTTTTGGGCAACTTTATTTCTACATATAATTAGTAGGTACTTATGAGCACTACGTGTGAGTTGATATAATCTAATTGGTAATAATACATCATGATAATCAACTAATGTTTAAAATTACACCTTTTTAAGAAGAAAAATTATGGTGGCAGCACTGTCTCACCAAGATCTTTGACAGTCTATAAATGAGTCCATTGTATTGGCACTTCAAAATTCATGCGCAAGAATGATGCAAATTATGATGTGGACTTCACATCATGAGAGGCTGCACCTACTATTCGATTTTTGCTGAAATGTCTGAAGGATAGCTTAAAATAGTCCTATACTGTGACCCCTGGGTAACTTCCATTTTGCCTGTCTCTTTTTAAAAATGTTTTCCTTTAGTATAAGTTAAAAAACACATAGGAACCAATTCAGTATTCATAAATCTGTATTTCTGGTGTCATTCTTACAAAGGTAAAATAGATTTAAATCCTGTTTTATATAAAAGTATACATATATACTGTTATTTTCTAGAGTTGTTTTTATATGTCCTGGTTGAATTACAGTCCCATTCTGTAAAGGCGCTGTGTAAATACGTG